CTCAGGGTCCTAGGATCGAGCCCCACATCGGGCTTCCTGCTCTGCAGGAAGCCTGCTTCTCCCTCTCCTGCTCCCCCTGCTTGTGTTCCCTCTCTCGCTGTCTCTCTCTGTCAAATAAATAAATAAAATCTTTAAAAAAAAAAATATCAGTTCCAGTCCCTGCTTTCAGTTCTTCTGGGATATCCCCAGAAGTGGGATTGGTAGATTTTATGATAATTCTATTTTTAATTTTTTGAGCAAACACTATATTGTTCTCCATTGTGGCTGCACCATTTTATATTCTGAACAGTACAAGATGGGTTGAATGATGATTTTGATAATTTTGATGAAAGTCTGATATATTTTTTGCCTAAGATCCTTTAGGATTCTTGTTCTTAAAGGCCTGATAGCTTTTCTAGTAGATATCTTGAAGTGGGTAGTTGTGAGTAAACTTCCCTGGTACTCTGTAGGTCCTTTCATATTTAGACTCAGGTCATCTATTCTTGAAGTTTTCTTGGACTGTAGTTTTAAATATTGTTTCCTTTTTGTTTGTTTGTTTTCTTCAGGAACTACAATTATATGGGTGATATTCCCTTTATTGTCTGATTTCCATTTCAACCACTTTCTCTCTAGCCCATCCTTTGTTTCATTTTTATTCTCTCAAGTGGTTTTCCTGCTACACTTCAACGCCCATCCTGTTTTCATTTCAATCTATTCTTTGCTGTCTTGTAACTTAGTTTCATTTCTTTCTGAACTTCAGTCAACACTCATTTTGTTTCTTAATTTTTTTGTCCATTTCTGTTCTTAGCTTTTGAGTTTTGTTTCCAGATTTGCTGAAATATAATTGATATGTAACATTGTATTAGTTTAAGGTGTGCAACATAATGATTTGATACATGTATATGTTGGGAAATGATTATCACAATAAGTTTAAGACTATTTCCTCAACATAGTTACAAATTTGAATTTTTGATTCAAGATGATTTCTCATATGCCCAAATGTTTGAGGATATTGAATTCAGCTTGTAGTGTTTTGTTATTCTTTTTCTCTATTACTATTTTTTTCTTTCCTTTCCTTTTCTTTCTTTCCTTTTTTTTTTTGTAGAATTTTTTTTAGCTGAACTCTGGAATAGAGGAGGACTGCACATCTGCATTTCTGTAAACAACTGTCAGATTCTTGTGTTTTTGACGGGAAACTCTTCTGTTAGTGTAACTAGTATGATTCCTTTGCTGGATTGCAGCAGGAGGAGAGATTGTGTGTTCTTTTTTTAATTCTCTTCTCTTTTGCAGGACCCTGTATTTCCCCCTTGCTTATTTTTCCCCTTTACCTTGGAGTTTCCAAGAGTTGCCTTTTCCTTGCTTGTAATCCCCTTTTCCTTTCGAGCTTCCCCTTTCCAAGACATCCTGTGCTCATTCTGCCTAAGCTTTTAAGTCCCGTCCCTGTAGTAAGTATTCTGACCTATCAGTACACATTTTCAGCATTTTTTCATGCATGGTAATGTTTCTTTTCTGATGGTTGTTTTCTATCAACTTTATTTTTTATTTTTTTTTAAGATTTTATTTATTTGACTGAGAGAGACACACAGAGAGAGGGAACACAAGCAGAGGGGGTGGGAGAGAGAGAAGCAGGCTTCCCGCGGGGCAGGGAGCCCGATGCGGGGCTCGATGCGGGCTCGATCCCAGGACCTGGGATCATGACCTGAGCCGAAGGCAGCCGCTTAAGGACTGAGCCACCCAGGCGCCACTTCTATCAACTTTAAATCTGCTGTTAATGTCTCTCTTCTCTCTTTCATGTAGTTTTCCCCCCTGAGCTGCTCTTCTACTCTCTGATGGCTTAATGTTGGAAGTAAACGAGATAGCGCACTGGTTTTGTGTTTTATGCTTTTTAAAAAAATTTTTTTTATTTTTTGCTTTTTTTATGGGTAATTTATTCACAGGTAATTTGAAGTTAGAATATCCTCTGTCCAGGTATGCTGAAAGGATGTATGTTTTGTGTAAATGACCTGTGTTTCAGTAGAAGCCTATCTAAGGTATTTAGCAATCTTTGACTTGATTGGATTCAAGCTCTAAACTCAGTCTCACCTGTGAACAGTAGCAGAAACCTGCACAGCTCCATTCACCTTCCATCCATTGTTAGCCACTTGAGCTCTTTGTTTCTTGCCTTCTGCATTCAGCCAAAGTATTCAACCAACTTTAGGAGGTGCTTGTGTGTAGATTTGAGGCTCCATCCCTAGTTGCTCCCACTTTTCTAGGATTTTGCCAGGCTGTTTCCAGAAAGTCTGGAAGCCACAGACTATTGATCTATTCCTCCTGTGCCGCTTGAACTGGGGAGTGCCCTCAGGTGAAAAACGAGTTAAATACAGGTCTCACCAGTATGCATCCCTTCTTTCAAGGGTTGTACCCCCTCCGGTTTCACACTGCTTTTGGTTGCGGTATCTTCGATTTTTTTTTTTTTTTATGTTTTGGTTAGGGTGTATAGTTATTAGTAAAAGGGTTAGTTTGATGCAAGCTGTTCTCAGTATCACAATCTAATGCTACTGGTTTTTAATTTACTCTTTCTTGTTCTTTTAAAAAACATTTTCTTCTCTTTTTCTCAGTTTTTGTTTTTTTCCTACTTTCTGGAATAGAAAGCAGGTGAAAACAATTTGTTGGGTTTTTTTTGTTGTTGTTTTAAACCCAATACATTGACAGTTCAAAAAACTGGCATTTTCCCTTTGTGGTTTCTTATTTTCAATATTTATGTTTTCTCTTTTCTTAAGATAGCTGTGTTTATTTCACTAAATTTTTAAGAAATTAGGATTTCACTTATTACCCATTTTTCTGTTCATTAATTTCTGTTATCTCTATTAATATATCTAAAACTGTACATTTCCCTCATCTCACTGTTTTAAATGAATCCCACACATCCACAGTGTTTTCATTATTATTTTTAGAAATTCTGTGACTTCATTTGTGTTTTCCCTCCAACTCTCACCTAATGCAGCATTCAGTAAACCTTTTCTACTTTCCCCTTCCCTTGTCTCTTCTCCCATTTTAGTGGCATTTCTACTTTATCAGAACACATGCCATATACCATTAGTATATATTTTTCTTCCCTGCTCTCTTACCCACCCACTGTGTTGTGCTAGATCTACAATTCTGTATATTAGATGCTCACCATCAGTTCTTTACCTAGTTTCCCTTTCCGGTCTTACTGTGTTTAATATCCATCTTCCAGTAGATTCTTCACAAAGAGCTTAAGGCTATAGAATTCCCCAAGCTCTTGCATGTGTAAAACTCGTTTCCTATAGGCTTCTTACTTGAAGAATCCCTTGGATGAATCAAGTATTAACCAAAAGTGTGGAAAGGGGCACATACTTAATATGTGGTCATTGGCATTGTGAGTTGGTCAGCCTTTGGAGGGCAATTTGGCAGTGTAAGCACATGTCCAAAATTAAGCCCAGTAATTCCACTCTGTTAGCACTCATACAGAAAGACTGACATGTTTGCAAAAAGGTATTGCTTATAACATTTTGGTGATAAATACGACAGCCTGTCCAATGACAGAAGAATACTTTGTTAAAGAAAATGTGGTCTGGGGGCGCCTGGGTGGCTCAGATGGTTAAACGTCTGCCTTTGGCTCAGGTCATGATCTCACGGTCCTGGGATCGAGTCCCACATCCTGCCACTCCCCCTGCTTGTACTCTCCCTCTCTCTGTTTCTGGCAAATAAATAAATAAAATCTTTAAAAAAAAAAAAAGAAAATATGGTCTGCTGTTGGACAAAGTATAACAATTATTAAAAAGAATGGAGTTTTAAAAGAAATTCTTTTTAAATAAAAACAATGGAGTTAGGTCTGTGAGTACTGGTGTACACATAGACCCAAGATATTAAATGCAAATAAGTCAGAATACAGATGGTTTTTATTTATGGGAAAGTAACATTGTTACTTTACATGTTTACACATGTACCCAAATACAAATGAAAATGACGAGACAAAATGATAAAGAGCACTAATGAAATAGTTAACAGCAGTTACCCAGATGTGGGCCTGGGGCAAAGTCCAGAAAGAGAACTAAACTTTTTCTTTTATAATCTTCAGACTACTCTGGATTCTTTCTAACACTAACAGAGATGTTAATCACATGTATAATTACATCGAATGAAATTAAACCACAAAAGTAAATTTCTTGAAAAATGTCTTTTGACTTCCCTTATAAATGATTTGCCATTTTATTTCATTTTTTCCCTAACCACTTCGTCTAAGTCATAATATTTATTTATTTAACCTGAGTTGTCATAGTTTATTATTTACAATTGATCATTAATTCTTGCCAGTTTCTGTCCTTGGTTATTGCTTTGGATTCCACTGGTTTTGTTCTCAACACACTGTTTTATATGTCCTGGCTATCCAATGAAAAAACTGTATACTTTTTACTTTTTTAATGAAAATTCTCAAACATAAAAGAGACAACAGTATAATGACCATCCTTACATACATCATCTTGATTTAACGCTTCTTAACATTTTGCCATATTGCATAAGTTTTTTTGCTGGCTAAGAATTTTAAAATAATTTTTATTAATGGAAGAATTCCAGACATGTTCAAAAGCAGCAAGAATAGTATAATAAAGCCCCAACTTTAACAGTCATCACCATGTTGCAGTCTTCTTTCATGTTTTTGTCTCATTTTTTCTGAAATGTTTTTAATCATTTCCATCCATAAATACTTCAATATGTATCTTTGAAAAACAACCAGAATACCATTTTCACAACCCCTCAAATTCGTAATCCTGCACTTAACATTATGTACTTCCAAGTAAATGGCCTCAAAAATGTCCTTTTACATTTAAGTTGTTATCAGGAGAGTTTGGAACTGAACCTGTTGAATGCCTGGCTTTCTGGACCTTTTTCCAGGGCCCTAGTTGAGAATCAGCCTGGTAACATCATGCCACCTGTCCCCCAACTGAGGCAGGTCCTGCCTCACTCATGGGGAGAGCATTTCTACCTGACACCCTTTCATTTCTGTTTTCCTTACCCAGATCTGCCTTCTGAGATATCCTTCTTTAGGGATACCAGGGAAAATGGCCACAGGGTGCCGGAAAGCCAGGGTAATGGTGAGTGTTTTCTGTATTTCCACACTGGCTGTGTCAGGATAGACTCATTTTCTTATTCTGGCTGCCTTGTTGGTACCTGGCAGAGTCTAGCATTAGTCTTGGAGTGATTTACTTTACCTGAAGCCTGTTCCATCTATGATTTAAGTCACTCACCAAGTGGCTAACCCTGAACAACGCACAGTTCTACAGGACAGGAGAGAGTCTACATTCCTTTGTTCAGCTTTAAAACTTTTATAAGCTGAGAGTGATATCAGGGAAAATAATGAAGTAGGAAGCACCAGGAATCTGTCTCCCCACGTAGGCAACAATTTTGTTGGCAAAATCTGTCTGATGTAACTATTTTGGAACTCTGGAGTCTAGTTGAATGCTTGCAGCTTCCAAGGGAAGGTTTGGAACGGTCAGTTTCCACTCTTAGTGCAGTACCCATCACACATCCCCTTCCCCCATGGCAGAAAGCCATGCGTGTGTTCCTGAAGCAGTTTGCACACAGCTTGCGGAGGCCGGGGGGGGCAGTAAGGACCTTGTCCTCCAAATACTGAGGATCTGTATTCTGATTCCTGATTGCTGCTTCTCATTACAGAAATGGGCATTACATTGTTACAACCCCCACTGGCTGAAGTAGGAGATTTAAAGAACCAGATCCTGGGAAATTTCTTCCTCTTTATTTTTTCCCTTTTCACCTTTTTCGTCAGACATTTCAGGATGGAACATCCAAAACAACTGCATGTATCCCTATACATCCTTTTGATTTAGAAAGTTACCATGCATGCCCATGGAAAGGCACAGGATCAGAAAAGCATAAGAAAGACCCAAGAAGGGCGCCTGGGTGGCTCAGTTGGTTGAACGACTGCCTTCGGCTCAGGTCATGATCCTGGAGTCCTGGGATCGAGTCCCGCATCGGACTCCCTGCTCAGCAGGGAGTCTGCTTCTCCCTCTGACCTTCCCCCCTCTCATGTACTTTCTCTGTCTCTCATTCTCTCTCTCAAATAAATAAATAAAATCTTTAAAAAAAAAAAGAAAGAGACCCAAGAAAACCCTAAGTTTACACCATAGGCTGAATCGCAGCATAGACAGCCTACAATAATTTTAAAACCCAGTAGATACTAGGGAGTCTGAGTTCTAGAGTTGTCATATTATAATATTCAGATATCCAATTTTCCACAGAAAATCAGGAGGCAAAGAAACATGACAATATAGTCCATTCAGAGGAAAAAAATAAATCATTAAAAACTATCGCTGATAAAGGCCAGATGGTGGGACTTACTGGACAAAGACTTTAAAACAGTTGTCTTAAGATTCTCTTAGCTAAAGGAAGACATGAACAAAATCAAGAAAATTATTTTAGGACAAACTGGAAATAGAAATAAAGAGACAGAAGACATAAAAAGCAAATAAGAAGCTCAACAAACTCCAAGTAGGATAAAGTGTCAAAGAGACCCACACCACAATACAGTGTAACCAAACACTTGAAAGCCAAAAGCAACATAGAATCTTGAAAACAGCAAGAGAGAAGCAACTTGTCACATACAAAGGGTCCTCTAAAATCTATCAGCAGATTTCTAATCAGTAACTTTGGAAGCCAGAAGACAGTGGGTTGATATATTCCATGCTGAAAGAAAAAATTGTCAACCAGGAATTCTATATCCAGCAAAAACTGTCCTTCAAAAGTAAGGGAGAAATCAAGACATTCCCAGAAAAAGAAAAAGTCATATAGTTTGCAGCCACCAGACTTGCCTTGCAAGAAATACTCATGGGAGTCTTTGAGGGTGCAATGAAATGATAGTAGACAGTTACTTGCTGCTATAGGAAGAAATAAATTTCTACAGGTAAATAAGTTGGCAGTTATATAAGCTAGTGTTATTGTCACTTTGGTTTACTACACTTTTTGTTTTCTGAATGATTTAAGAGATTAATGCCTTAAAACACAATTATGAGTCTATATTTTTGGACACAATGCACAAAGTAGTCTTATGACTTTAATAACTGACAAGAGGTGAGGATAGAGCTATATAGAATTGTGCTATTGAAGTTAAGCTGATATCAATTCATATTAGGGTGTTATAACTTTAGGATGTTAAATTTAATCACTGTGATAACTCTAATGAAAATAGATACAGAATGTACACAAAAGGATATGAAGGGGCACCTGGGTGGCTCAGTTGGTTAAGTGTCCGACTCTTGATTTCAGCTCAGGTCATGATCTCAGGGTTGTGAGATCAAGCCCCACGTCGGACTCTGTGCTGGGTATGGAGCCTGCTTAAGATATTCTCTCTCTCTTCCCCTCTCCCTCCCTCCCTCTCCTAAAAAAAGAAAAGAAAGAAAAAGATCTCCAGGAAACAACATAATTTTACAACTTAAGAGTCTAGAAAAAGAACAAACTAAACCCAAGGTAGCAGAGGAAGAAAAGAGTCAAGATTAGAACAGGGTTAAATAGAGAATAGAAAAATAATAGAGAAAAATCAATAAAACCAAAAATTATTTCTTTGAAAAGTTTATCAAAATTGACAAAACCTTTAGCTAGCTTGACTGAGAAAACAAGAAAGTTCAGATTACTAAAATCAGAAATGAAGTGGGGCATTACTGCTGATTCTACAGAAATAAGGGGGGTTATATGAGACTGTTATAAACTATTGTACCCCAACAAACTGGATGGCCTAGATGAAATGGACAGCTTCTTAGAAACAGAAAACCCCAGGACAGAATCAGTAAGAAACAGAAAGTCTTGGAAAAAAAAAAAAAAGAATTAGAAAGTCTTGATAGACTAGTAAGGACATTAAATCAGTAATCAAAAGCTCCCAACAAAGAACAGCCCTGGACTGATGCCTTCACTGGTGAATTTTATCATGCATTTAAAGAAAAACACCAATTTTCAAACATTTCCCCCCTCAACATGAAGAAGGAACACTGCCTAGCTAATTCTGTGAGGTCAGCATCACCTTGATACCAAAATCAGACAAACCTTGATACAAAACCAGTAAAGAAAATTACAGGCCAAGATCGCTTATGAGTACTGGTGCAAAAATTCTCAACATAATACTAGCAAACCAAATTCAGCATATTAGAAGAATTATACACTTTTCTACAGTAGTAAAAGAATTCTATACACTGTATAGAATTATACAGCATATTAAAAGAATCCCACTGACTAAGTCTAGTCCTAGAATGCTAGGATGGTTCAACGTGTAAACATCAATAAATATACCACATTAACAGATGAAGAGCAAAAACCCCATGGTCCTCTCAACTGATGCAGAAAGTATTGATAAAATCCAGCACTCTTTTATGATAAAAATACTCAAGCTAGGAATAGCTCATGTATATGAAAAACTCACAGCTAACATACTCCATGGTAGAAGACTAAAAGATTTTTCTGTAAGATAAAAGATCAGATATGACACATATACCCACTTCTGCCACTTCTGTTTAACACAGTATTAGGAATTCTAGCCAGAGTAAGTAGGAAAGAAAAGTAAAAAAAAAAAAAAAAAAAGTATCTAAATTAGAAAGGAAGAAGTAAAATTAGCAGATGACATGACTGTGTATATGTAGAAAGGATTCCAGACACACACACAAAACCTGTTGGAACTAATATACAAATTCAACAAAATAGCAAGATACAAAATTAACACACAAAAGCCAGCTGCATTTCTATACACTAACAATGAACAATTGGAAAAAGAAATTAAGAAAACAGTTCTACTTCCAATAGCATCAAAAAGAATAAAATACTTAAAAAAAACTTAAGAAGGCAAAAGACTTGTACATTGAAAAATACAAAACCTTCCTGAAATAATTAAAGAAATGGAAAGACACCATGTTCATGGATGGAAATTTTAATATTGCTGAGATGACAACAGTACTGAAGTCGATTCAGTGTAATCTCTACAAAAATCTCAATGGCTTTTTCTTCTTTTCTTCAGAAATAGAAAACTTAATCTTAAAAAAAAAAAAAAGAAATAGAAAACTTCACCTTAAAATTCATATGAAATCTCAAGGGACTCTGAATAGCCAAAACAATCTTGAAAAAGAACAAACATGAAGGGCTCACAGTTCTTGATTTCAAAATTTACTACAAAGTTACAGTCATCCAAGCTGTTTGGTACTGGGATAAAGACGGAATTACAGACTAATGGAATAGAACACGGAGCCCAGAAATGAACCCTCATGTATATGGTCAAATGATTTTGGACAAGAGTACCAAGACCATTCAATGTGGAAAAGACAGTCTATTTAATAGATTGTGCTAGGAAGCTATGCCTACATGCAAAAGAATGTAGTTGGACCCAAATCTCACACCATATACAAAAATGAACTCAAAATGGATTGAAAACCTAAACAGAAGGAACTAAAACTATAAAACTCTTAGGAAAAAGACAGGGGAAAGCTTCATGAAATTGGGTTTAGTGATGAGTTCTTGGACATTACACCAAAAGCCCAGGCAACAAAAGAAGAAATAGATAAATTGGTCTTCATCAGAATTTATAATCTGTGTGCAAATATATTTCCAAATCACTTATCTGATAAGTGATCTGATAAGTGATTAACATTCAGAATATATAAAAAACTGTAACCCAACAAAAATACAAAGACCCCAATTCAAGAATGGGCAAAGAAAAGAATTTGAATAGATATTTTGCAAATAAGTTATATAGATGGCAAATAGGCATGTGAAAAGATGATCATCATCACTAATCATTAGGGAAATGCAGTCTAAGTCCACAGTGAGATACCATTTTACACTCATCAGATGGCTGTTATAAAAACAACAAAAATAAAACAGAAAGCAACAAGTATTGGTGAGGATGTGGAGAAATTAGAACCCCTCTGCATCGCTAGTGGAGTTATAAAATGATGCAGTTGCTGTGGAACACAGTGATTCCTGAAAAAAATGAATGTGACATTCCCATTTGCTCTTGTAATTCTACTTCTGAGTATATACCCCCAGATAATTGAAAGCAGGGACTCAAACAGATCACTGTACACCAATTTGTGAGGTGGTATTATTCACAGTCATTAAAAAGTGAATCAGACCAGATGTCCATCAATGGATGAATGGTCTATACATAAAATCAAATATTTTTTAGTCTTGAAAAGAGAGGAAATTCTGAGTTCATGCTTCCAAAGGAATGAACCTTGAAATTAGCCAGACACAAAAAGACCGATATTGTGTAAGTCCAATTAACTTGAAGTACGTAGAATAACCACATACATAGAGATGGAAACCAAAATGGTAGTTATCAGGGTTTGGGAGGAGGAGGGGTTATTATTTAATGGTTACAGTTTCAGCATGGGATGATGAACAAGTCCTGGAGATGGATAGCCGCGATGGTTGTACAACTACGTGAATATACTTAATCCTACTGAAATGTACACCTAAAATGGTAAAAATAGTGTGATATTTGTTAGGTATATTTTACAATCAAAATTAAAAAATCTATAGGCTGCTACATTCCACCTCTTCTGTATTCTACCTTTTATTCCTCCCGGGTTGTCCTCCGTGTCCACATGGTGGCTTCCTCTCTTCCTTTGCTCACAGTGTCGTCTTCTCCGCTCCCTGCATGCTTCATCTGGAATACCTAACACTTCCCTCTTCTCCTCACTCCTGCCCATTCTTTAAGAGAAGTCCCTGGGGCTTCTTCAGGACTCTTTCCTGATGTCCGTATTTCACTGTGCTCACCATTTTGAAATAGAGTTAAGGAGATTAGTAAAACTGGGCAGGGGGGTGAGAATGAATATAGAGATGAATTTGAAGGTTGAGTAGCCAAGAAGGTCCACCCTGAGCATCCACAGTGTGGGGCCATAAATTTAATATACTATTATCTACATTTCACTAGTTGACCACAGAGGTGGACCCCAAACCCAGGCAGTACGTTCAAGTCCATGCTCCTCACTATGCCCCACTTGTGCCTCTCAGACCCAAGGAGGCCAAGGGACCATGGCATTTACGGAAAGGACTAAGTTATAGTTAGGCTGTGCCATTATTGAATTGTATGAACTTTAGTCATTCAGATGCTTCAATACTAATGTGATTGGTAATATTACTTAATTTTTTAAATTCTTAAAATTCAAAGTCTGTTACATTTTTACTTTTGTTTACTTTTTATTTATTGTTTGCTCTTCTATCTGCCTAGATTTAAAGTTCCTAAAAGTTAGGGACTTTTTTTTTGCACATATTCTCCACACAGCCCACCCAGGATCTTGAATGTAGATTCACAGGTGTTGTTGGCTGGATAGCAACAGAGGTTTAAAGGTCTTGGAACACATGGCATCAGGGTCACAATCAAAGGCAGAGTATTTTTTTTTTAATTTATTTTTAAAGATTTGTTTATTTTATTTTGAGAGAGAGAGAGAGTGTGCACGGGCACACACAAGTGGGGGGAGGGACAGAGAGAGAGGGAGAGAGAATCCCAAGCAGGCTCCACGCCCAGTAGAGTCTGACATGGGGCTCAATCTCATGACTGAAATCAGGAGTCGGACACTTAACTGACTGAGCCACCCAAGTGTCCCTAAGATTTATTTATTTATTTCAGAGAGAGAGAGAGAGAGAGAGAGAGAGCATGAGCAGGGGGAGGGGCAGAAGGAGAGGGAGAGAGAATCTCAAGCAGACTCCCTGCTGAGTGAGGAGCCCGACACGGGGCTTGATCTTAGGACTTTGAGGTCATGACCTGAGCTGAAATCGAGTCAGAGACTTAACTGACTGAGCACAAGGTGCCCCCAAGACAGAATCTTGGTAGCTCACCCGCCGCCCACTGGGCAGCATCCTCCCTTCCCCTCAGCCTGAGTCGTGGGCAAGGCTGGCTCCTCAGTGAGCAGAGCTGTGTTTTCTGTTACAGGCACACATGGCATTCAGAGATGTGGCTGTGGATTTCAGCCAGGAAGAGTGGATGCTGCTGAGCCCCGCTCAGAGATCCCTGTACAGGGAGGTGATGCTGGAGAACTACAGCAACCTGGTCTCACTGGGTAAGCCCTGGAATCTCTAAGGACTCATGTCCCTGCTGCGGGGCATTTTAGGCTGTGCTTGAAGCAGCCATCTTGCTTTCTGAGTTGGCCCTTGTGCCCCTAACCTACAGCCACCTTGTTTTTTCTTTTCCTGTGAGCAGGAATTCCATTTTCTAAGCCAAAACTTATCACCCAGCTGGAGCAAGGGAAGGAAACCTGGAGAGAGGAGAGAACATGCCCACCAGCCGCCCGTCCAGGTGAGTGGGGAGTGCTAGGCAAACGGAGAACAGAGCTGCAGGCAGCTCGGCGTGGGAGACAGGAGGCATTGCCCTGGTGCTAGAGAGCAGCTGTTCTCACCTCCCGTGCTGTGGTTGGCGTTGCCTGGCATGGCCTCCCTTCTAGACCTTCATCCTCACCTAAGGGCAGGGCTCTCCTGGTGTCTCTCATCTCCTTCTGCCACTAGAAGTCTTTCTTCCTCCCACTGGGTTTGCCCTCTTTCCCTCACTCAGATCTCTTCCGTAGGCCTGGGCTTCTTTTTTTTGCTTTTCTTTTTAAAGATTTCATTTATTTGAGAGAGAGAGAGAGAGAGATAGCAAGTGAGAGAGAGAGAGAGGGAACACAAGCAGGGGGATCAGCAGGCAGAGGGAGAAGGAGACTCCCTGCTGAGCAGGGAACCCGATGCAGGGCTCGATCCCAGGACACTGGGATCATGACCTGAGCCGAAGGCAGACGCTTAACCCACTGAGCCACCCAGGCACCCCTCATGGACTTCTTTCTGTTACTGTTTTTTAAAAAGATTGAGCAAGAATGTAAGAAAAAACCCAGCAAGCTACAGAAAGAGGGCAAGCTTGCAGATGGCCGCCTTCTCTTTATGTCCTCACATGGCTTCTCTGCACGTGCACATCCTTGCTGTTTCTCCCTCCTCTTGTAAGGACACTATTCACATCAGATAAGGGCTCTACCCTTGTGACCCCTTTAACCTTAATTACCGCTTAATTAAGCTTTAACTTAACTACCTCTTTAAAGGCCCCATCTCCAAATACAGTAACATTCTGTATCAAATACTGGAAGATAGATGTGTATACAGTTGATTTTTAAAAGTTCATTTCATTGGGACGCCTGGGTGGCTCAGTCGGTTAAGCGTCTGCCTTCAGCTCAGGTCATGATCTCGGGGTCCTAGGATTGAGCCCCGCGTCAGGCCCTCTGCTCAGCAGGGAGTCTGCTTCTCCCTCTCCCTCTGCTCCTCTCCCTGCCTGTGCTTTCTCTCTGACAGATAAATAAAATCTTTAAAAAAATAAAAAAATAAAAGTTCAGTTCATTGATCAAGAAAATTGTGTTCAGGTTGGTCCAGTACCATCACTACCTGGTTTCTCAAATTATTTGGTCGTTTATTGCCTTCAGAAGACTAGAAGCAGCTGTGATAAAACAATACACTCAGCATCTTCTACACACGAGGTACTATACGAAGAAATTTTTGCTTCTATGCTGATTTGTGGGAAGATTTTTATTTAGACTAATTATGGAAATTAACAGGAATTAAACTGGTCAGGAACCCCAGGAGGGAGCATCTTTAAGGGAGTAGGGGACTATACTGTGTTTGTGTCATCCATTGCTGAAAACCTATGGCCTTGTAGAAATTCTGGCCCAAAGCCATCCTCTAATAAATATTCGCTAGTGAGTGGAGGAACTCCAGGCATCTCACACACGATCTCTTTAACCATTTTTATGCTGCTTCCTACAACTAGGGGTTCTCCATTCTGAATGAGTGTTCTCTCCATCTGTCCCTTTGTTCTCAGGGGGAAATAGGGAAAGACCTGACATTTCCCTACAGGTCCTCTGGTCAGATCTCACTCAGTCAGAGGAGATACTCGTGGACACGGTTTCGGTCATGTGCGTGGTGGCGACGAGACAGTTGTGGGAGCCGGGGAGGACTGTTGCTTAGTGTCCCTATATAAAAGAGCTGAAACTGCCTGGGATGATTTTTTATAGCTGGCTACACGGGAGAGGCTTGGGAGGGGGCTTTCTGGGTTGTAATAGAAGAGGCTGGAAGAGCACGTCATTTAAAGGAAGTCTTGGCTGGGTAGCTCTCCAGTTTTAAGCATTTTGAAGAGCAGGGAAGCGGGTCTCCCAGCAGACTGGGCAGAATTGCTCGGGCTACCCCACAGCGTCTCAGTTCTGACTCCAACTTTTCCCTCTGCAGTGGAACCAAAGCCAGAACTCCACCTCTGTCCTTTCTGCCCTTCGGATTTTTCCAGTCAGAAGGTCCACGTGCAGCACATGCTGTGTAATCATCCCCCCTGGGTCTTCACATGCCTGTGTGCAGAGGCTCCTGTCGCGCCCGGGGATCCGTGCCCAGGGGACCAGAAGCAGCAGCAACAGGCCTCAGATCGAGAGCCCTGGAGGGATAAAGCAGAAGGTCAGGAGAGAGAAGGCGCCAAGCCTTTGTTTGGCAAGACAAAGAAGAGGACTTCGGGGGCATTCTCTAGGCCACCCCAAAGGCAGCCGGTCAGCTCCCGGAGTGGCCTCAGAGGCGTGGAAATAGAGTCCAGCCCCACCCCAGCAGGGAACCCTGAGGAAGCAGACAGACTGTTGAAGAGGATAGAAGTCTTAGGATTTGGAACGGTCAACTGTAGAGAGTGTGGACTGGGCTTCAGCAAGATGACAAACCTGCTCAGTCACCAGAGGATTCACTCCGGGGAGAAGCCATACGTGTGTGGGGTGTGTGAGAAGGGCTTCAGTCTGAAGAAGAGCCTTGCCAGGCACCAGAAGGCGCACTCGGGGGAGAAACCGATTGTGTGCAGGGAGTGCGGCCGCGGATTTAACCGGAAGTCAACACTTATCATACACGAGAGGACACACTCAGGCGAGAAGCCGTATATGTGCAGTGAGTGCGGGCGAGGCTTTAGTCAGAAGTCAAACCTCATCATACACCGGAGAACACACTCGGGGGAGAAGCCCTACGTGTGCCGGGAGTGTGGGAAAGGCTTTAGCCAGAAGTCTGCTGTCGTCAGACACCAGAGGACACACTTAGAGGAGAAAACCATCGTATGCGGTGACTGCGGACTAGGCTTCAGTGACCGCTCGAACCTCATCTCACACCAGAGAACACACTCCGGGGAGAAGCCTTACGCCTGCAAGGAGTGCGGGCGCTGCTTTAGGCAGAGGACGACCCTGGTCAACCACCAGAGGACACACTCCAAAGAGAAACCTTACGTGTGTGGAGTGTGTGGGCACAGCTTTAGCCAGAATTCAACTCTCATCTCACACAGGCGCACACACACCGGGGAGAAGCCTTATGTGTGCGGGGTGTGTGGACGCGGCTTTAGCCTGAAGTCACACCTCAACAGACACCAGAACATACACTCAGGGGATAAGCCCATCGTGTGCAAGGATTGTGGGCGAGGCTTCAGCCAGCAGTCAAATCTCATCAGACACCAGAGGACGCATTCAGGGGAAAAGCCCATGGTGTGTGAGGAGTGCGGGCGAGGCTTCAGCCAGAAGTCGAACCTCGTTGCCCACCAGAGGACACACTCAGGGGAAAAGCCGTACGTGTGCAGGGAGTGTGGGCGAGGCTTCAGTCACCAGGCAGGTCTCATCAGGCACAAGAGGAAGCACTCGAGGGAGAAGCCTTACACGTGCAGACAGTGTGGACTAGGCTTTAGCAACAAGTCAGCTTTAATCACACACAAGCGGGTACATTCAGAAGAGAAGCCATGTGTGTGCAGAGAGTGTGGCCAAGACTTTATCCAGAAGTCACACCTCCTCTTACATCAGATGACACACCAGGGAGAGAAGCCTTACGTGTGCAAGATGTGCGGCCAAGGCTTCAGCCAGAAGTCCCACCTCAGCAGACACAGGAGGATGAAATCTGTGCACTACAAACCTCCACTCCAGCCTGACTCTGAGGCCTGTGTGGGACAATCTCCTGACCTCTTACACGCTCTTTGAGAGTGAAGGTAGTGGTGCGGACTAAGTCATCAGAACTGTTATACTTTCATGAAATGGAGTAGAGAAGTGCATTCCAGGAGTGGTCAGAGGACATTGGACTTAGTTCACTTTCTCCACACTAAGTCTTCATGTTTTGTGGCCTTTTGTTCTAATAAACATTGCTTCTTTACAAATCCGTAACCTTGACTATGTACCTCATTCACCCATCTGTAAAGATAGGGGACAAGGAGGGGTACAGGTAACTTGAACTCCTAAGTCTACTCTTCCACAAGAATTCAATTCCCTGGAAAACAGGAACTGAGTCACTAGAATATTTACTAGAAAGTCTGGTCCTTGGTAGAGGGGGCAAATCGAGGAACTGTATTCAGGGATTTCAGGCGAGGGGAGGGAATCTTCCAGGTGTCTTCCAAAAAACATGGCTTCCTCTAGCAGGCCCACTTTGATCTGCAACTACCCTCTTCCCTTGACTTCTGTGACAGCCCCCTTTCTCGCTTCCCTCCTCCTAGCTCTCAAATGTCTCTAGTTTGCTGAATCCTCCCCTAACCCACCTTAAATGCTTTTTCTCAGGCTTTATTTAGTCCCTGGTCCTCCCACCATGGAGCCCCTCCAACAGTACATTGTCCCCAACACTCCAGTCCCTCAGGCCTGGAGTTTTTCAGCGGTGACCAGCCAGTTCCTTCATCTCAGAGCCTGGGGTCTCCAGTCACGTTCCTATCAGACCACCAAGAACATGGAGGATCTCCAACCACCCCCCAGCCACACTATCACACTGGCACTCCAATAATATAATGACCTTTAACCACATGCTCTCCTCAGTCCTCCATTAACAGGGAGAAGACTCTTGAAGCCATTCTCCCAAATCAGTCCTGGAATACCAGGGTTTAGAACTTACAGTCATGCTCCTCAGCTCTCCGTCTCAGGCCCAGGCCCTGCTAGCCATCCAGGAACTGGTCCAAGTTCCCTTAGCTGCACACCCTCAGCGATTCTCCAATCTCAAGGTTAGAGATACTCAGCCATAAAGACTCCTAACCATACTTTCACCGTGTTCCGGTCCAAAGTGGCCTTGCTCAAAACAAATGACCTTTAGGGTAAAGACCCATCTCAAGGATGCAGCTGTAAACCCTTTTCTAAGACTTAAGAAGATTGAAGTGTATAGGTCCTAGACTCTCAGCTACACAAAACGGTTTCTATGAATTGTAAAGATGTCGTCCTACCGCACCCTGGCAACCCAAACCAGAGAGAGCCTTCCCCTGAAGAGCTCTGTAGACGTGGTTTTATCTAATGGAATGAACTTCTGTAGGAGGCATGGGAAACATGAGTTTGTAATAGAAACACCAGCCTACTCTGAAAAGACAGAGAAAAATCCCTACTTCTCTTTTTTTTTTTTTTAAGATTTTTATTTATTTATTTGAGAGAGAGAGCATGAGCAGGGGGCAGGGCAGAGGGACAGGGAGAGACAGACTCCCCGCTAAGCCAGGAGCCCAACACAGGGCTTGATCCCAGGACCCTGGAATCATGTCCTGAGCCAAAGGCAGACGCTTAACCAGCTGAGCCACCCAGGTGCCCTAAAATCCCTACTTCTCTATGGGTGGGGAGGCAGGCTGAGAAATCTAAGCTGCAAATACAGGCTATTTCAGAAGAATAACTCAGTGTAGACATAAAAATAATGGAGAATCACTGCCAGGGAGCAGTACTGGACACTAATTAAGGAACTAGTGGCCTGTGCCCCGCTGAATTTCAAAATGTCTATGAACTGGTACCTGCTGTATATCTTTCATTTCACCATTTTTTTAATAGAAGCATTTATTGTGGTTATATTTTATCCCTAAATCAACATTGAATGTCAGATATGTATCTTAAGCTCTCAAGTCTTCAGATAAAGAATCATCTATGCTTTGATACGGTTTAGATAACAGGATTCTGAACTCTGAGTCGATGCCATAATGGGAAAAGACTTTGAGGGTCTTAGGGGTGAGTGTATATTTCACATGCGATGGACATGAAGTTTGGTGTTCAGATGGTAGACTGTGGAGATAATCTCCAAGATGGACATCAGTTCCTTCGTGTGTGTGTGTGTGTGTGTGTGTGTGCGCGTGTGTGTGTGTGCGTGTGTGAGAAAGAGAGAGAGACAGAGTCTGTTTATCCTCCCATGGATCTGGATTGGCCTTAGTGATTTGCTTGATTGAGAGAATATGGGAGAAGTGATATTATGGGACTTCTGATGCTAGTTCATGAAAAGCCTTACAGCTTCTACTCTGAATCCCACTTCCATGCTGTGAAAAACCTCAAAGCCTCATTGAGAGGCCTCATGAAGGTATTATGGTCAATAGCCCTAGCTGAACTAGCCAACAGCTAACATCAACTGCAGTTGCATGATAGAGCCATCTTGGAAATCCCCTTCTGCCAAGCCCTCACACTTCAGGGGAGAACCATTCAGCTGTGCTCAGTCAACCTATAGAACTGTGAGGGATGATGATAATAAATTGTCTTAAGCCCTAAATTGCAGTGTTGCCTGTTATATAGCAATAGATAATTATAACACCTTTGAAGCATAGGACTCACTTTTTTTTTTTAAGATTTTATTTATTTATTTGAGAGAGAGAGAGAATGAGAGATAGAAAGCACGAGAGGGAAGAGGGTCAGAGGGAGAAGCAGACTCCCTGCTGAGCAGGAAGCCCGATGTGGGACTGGATCCCGGGACTCCAGGATCATGACCTGAGCCGAAGGCAGTCGCTTAACCAACTGAGCCACCCAGGCGCCCCAGGACTCACTTTTCTAACTATGACAAAATCTTGAAGCCATAATGAAAATAGGTCAAGTTTGGCTACACAAAATAAATTCCGCAAGACAACCCACACCTTCAGCCAAAACAAAAGAAACTGGAGGGAAATACTGAAGTCCGTATTATAAAGAGATCTACAAAATATCTCTAGAAACGGAGTTTTTAAAATCAACAATGCAACAAAAAATACTCAAACTGACTGATCAGACTCAGATCACAGTGTAGGAAGTCCTTTTTCATTTGAAAATGTACTTAGTGAAGATACAAATGAAAACCACATAGCGATATTTAACCTGTCAAACTGGCAAAAATTACAAAAGTTGAAACATACTCTTGTAGACTATGGAAACAGGTACACTTACATGTTAGTCTTGGAACTATTAAACTGGTACAAGTCTTGTGGTGGACAACATGATGATATCTACCGAAGTTAAAAATTCATATTCCCTTTATGAGCCCATAACCTCAATGGAATTTATCCAATAGCTGTACACGTTCATGTGCAAAATGATTTACATGAGGTCTTCAGTGCAGTCGTAACTTAAATTTTAGTAAGGAAGAAAATATTTACCAATAGAGGAACTAATTAAAGTCAACCATGCATAAATAGAACAAGATGCTGTATATTGTCAAAGAATGAGAAGCATCTCTATGTACTGACATGGGAAGATCTCCAAGATTAACCAATGGGAGGAGGATTGGGGAAAACAGTCTGAGAATGCTACAGCCAGTGTGCTATGTTTTACATTAAAAAACAATAGAACATGTTTTTAGAAAATAAGAACTAAGTTGAAATACTACACTTCCAGTTTCAAAAATTACTAAAGCTACAGCAATAATCAGTGGCGTTTCAGCAACAGAAACCCTACAGCAGAATTTTCTTCCAAAATAGTCCAAGAAATGCAGCTTTTCATATGAATTCAAGCAAATAGTTTGTTTTTCACCTAAACTTACACACTTGGCTTTTCTTCTGAAATGGCCTAGAAAGACATTTTTCGTCCAAATTAGCACAATAAGTGGGATTTTGTGTCTGTACTACTACACCATGGTCTTGGAAATATAATTTTTAATCCAAATTCATTAAGTTTTATGGATTTTTGGAAATAATTCTTTTTTTTAAAGATTTTATTTATTTATTTATTTGACAGAAAGAGACACAGTGAGAAAGGGAACACAAGCAGGGGGAGTGGGAGAGAGAGAGAAGCAGGCTTCCCGCTGAGCAGGGAGCCCGATGCGGGGCTCGATCCCAGGATCCTGGGGTCACGACCCGAGCCAAAGGCAGACGCTTAATGACTGAGCCGCCCAGGTGCCCCTGGAAATAATTCTTATGCCAAACTTTTTTTTTCTAAGATTTATTTATTTATTTGAGGGAGAGAGTAAGAGCAGGGAGGGAGTAGCAGAGGGAGAGGTAGAAACAGGCTCCCTGCTGAGCAGGGAGCCAGATGTGGTGTAGGACCCTAGGATCATGACCTGAGCAGAAGGCACCCAACTGACTGAGCCACCCAGGCTCCCTGCCAGACTTTTCTAAGATGACAAAACAGTGTGACTTTCCATCTAAATATGCTCAAATTGTTAGGGTGGTGTGGTTATAAATTCTCTGCTATGTTATTTTACAAAACTACCTACTAGAAATACACTTTCTCATCCAAACTCATTCAAATCATTGGTTTTGGGGGGTACAAATCCTTCATCAAGTTTTCCTCCCAAATGGACAAGAAACATGATTTTTAAAATCCAACTTCATATAAATAGTGGAGCTTTGGTCATATGGTATATAACCAAATAAGTCATCTGCCAGATATTTGTCCCAGATGCCCTGGAAATGTGATGTTTTCATCTAAATCTGTTCGAATTTGGGGGCTTACTGGAACTAGGTCCTACATCAGATTTTTTTTCTAAAATATGCAGAATATGTGATTTCTGATCCAAATTCACTCAAATCTTAGTATCTTTTGGACATAAGTATTATGCAAGACTTTTATTCTAAAAGACCTGGAAATGTGATTTTTCAAATTGGCTCAAATAGTTTTTTGTCATTTTTTTGGACATAATTTCTATGCCAGATTGTCTTCCAGAGTGGCCTAAAAATGTGACATTTCATCCAAATGTCCTCAAATGGTAGGAGGCTTTTTTGGTAAGCCCTGTGCCAGATTGTTCTTTGCATATGGTCATAAAATATTATTTTTTATTAAAACTTACTAATATCATGAGGTTTATTAGACATAAGTCCTGTGGCATATTTTCTTACAAAGTGGCCCTCAACCATATTTTTTAAACCTAAATTCTTACCTCCAAAATGCAGTTTCTTGGACATAAGTTCTATGCCAGCTTTTTCTTCCAAAAAGTGGGTTCTTAAGGTATGAGTCCCATGGTTCTTCTAAAATGGTTCAGAAAGATG